ACAATTGTATTAAAGTATTGGAGCCCTCTTGGGGCTTTGCGGCATATCGTCCGTCTTTGGAGCTCCTTAGGTGGTCTGGGCTTGTGAGAGCACAAGTAGGCCTCTTCGGGGTGATCTTGGACCGTCCTGCGAGCCGACGGACGGTGTGGGAGGCTCGTCCTGAGGCCCAGTGGGCCATGCTTGGCGCGTGCGTGGTCCTTCCTCTGATGTTGGCAGCCGTTTGGGCCGTCCTGAAGCGCTAACAGGCGGGGCTCGCAAAATCTGTCCACAGCCGCAGGAAAATCAAGATGTTTAGCCTCTGTGGGCTCTTGGAGCTCCTCCTCGCTGGCTGTCCGTCGGTCCCGGGAGCCCCTTGGGGCCATCTGAAGGGCCACACGGACGTGCAAGGGTGCAGTTTGGCAGAATCGGGCCATCTTGGAGCACCCCGGGAGCCCAGGGAATGGAGGGGAGTGGAATGGAAGGGAAGGGAAGGGAATGGAGAGGGAATGGAATGCACTGGCGGAGTGCACAACAAGAGATGATGAGCTCATACTCAATTCACTGGCCTCGAATTGAGGTTTCTGTCACGAGCTGGAGCCCAGGGAGGATGCAGGGAGCGCTCGGGGAGTCTGGACAGAGCGCCCCCCGGGAGCCCCGAACCCCCATGGTGACCCGACACCCTGGTCCTGGGCCGCGTACCCTTGGATGTACTTTAACCACGTGCGCGCTTCGCGCGCGCGCTCAGGTCCTACCGCAGGCCAGGGCGCTGCCACGAAACAGTGAGTTCATGCTGCAGTGGAGGCCCGACCACAAGAAACCCTCCACGAGAAACTAACCCTGAGACCCCAGGACGAGGGTTCACGCTACAGTGGAAGCCTGACCACAAGAAACCTTCCACAAGAAGCCCAAATTTGAGACGTCCATTGGTTTTTGGTGTGGGAGCGTCACGCCTTCCACAGCAAAACCATCGAAACCCAAAAATCCAAGAGCACCTTGGAGGTAAGCAGGTTGTGGCTTCGCATGGGCCTCCTCTGTACGATGCATCATGGGGCCGACGCCAGACGCCAGCCTTCGCCACCTGTGCGTGATTTTAGCCATGTCTACCACGCTTTTTTTAACGGGGAAGAACTGGGAGACAATTTTAAAAAAGCTGCTCCCAACGGTGTAGTGCACACATAGATAGATATATATATATATATAAAAACAAAAAAAAAGAAGCGGGGCAAACCGGACCGCCGGGGACGTCCCCGCGACCGCCCTGGCGCTCCGCGTCAAGCACAAAGCCATTCAACCTCAACAAAAAAACGGGCGTCACGAGTCACCCCCGAAAACAATAAAAATTAATTGTCGTTTTGGGGTTCTGGGAGGCCGTTCAGCTTCACAACGAACAGCGGGTGACACGTGTCACCCCCGAAACCGTGTGAGGAAAAAACCGTAAAGGTTAGATTCTGGGGGCCAACATGAGGCCATTCAACCTCACAAAAACAACGGATGACACGTGAGAAAAAACCACACCATGTGAGAAAAACCAAATGTAAATCTGGGATTCCGGGAGTCAACATAAGGCCAGTCAGCCTCACAGAAACAACCACTGGGACGCGTCTCACCCGAAGCCGTCGGAGAAAAAACAATTTTGAACATTTAAAACTCTGGGGGCCAACCTAGAGCCATGTTCACCCCCCCCCCCAAACAAAAAAACGCGCGACATGTCTCACCCCCGAAACCGTGAGAGAAAAACCAATGGTAAATTTAGGGTTCGGGAACAACATAAGGCCGTTCAAACTCACAAACACAACGGGTGCAACGTGTGACCCCCGAAACCACGTGAAAAAAACGAATTGAAAATTCGGGATTCTGAGAGCCAGCATAAGGCTATTCAAACTGATACCGCGCACGAGAACTGGACACCACCGCGCGCGCACGCGCGCGCGCAGTCGCGCGCGCACGTACGTAGAGTGTCTCAGTAAGACGAAAACTACCTACTCGTCGACCGAAGTAGCCTGCACATCTGCACGCATACTGTTATTGTGCATATACCAATCCATGCGCGAGAGTGCGTGTGTATACAGATATTTGCATACAAACATACATGTGTACATGTATCAATCGCATCGTTCGGTCCCCGTGGAATGTTTTCCTGGGGGACAATTGATGACTCGGAGGCGAAAGAATGGCAGTCGGGATCCGCGGGGGAAAAGGGGGGTCATCATTTGTTTAAACAGGTTTTGGACATTAACAGCTTGCTCCACAGATTCCGTGATCGCGTCCTCCAACATTTCGTGTACATCCTTCCTCGCTAGTCCTCCAGCCTCTCTCGCTTGTCCTGTCTCCTTAATTCCTGGCTTCTCCAGATTGCCTCCTCCTGCTGAGGTCTCTGCGGGACCTTCGACCTGTTCACGGTCAGCGTGGGTGGGTATGGAATATGAGGTTGGTCGGCTTAGAGTGTGGGGGTCTCCTGGGGATCTTCCTGGAGTGTGGTAATTAGGGCTACCTTGGGGCTCCGTACAGGGCCTCTTCGGGGCTTCGGGGGGCTTCTTGGAGCTCTGGACCTCTCAGGGGGTCCTGAGAAGCCTTGGGTTAGGTCGGGCATGTCCTCCTACAGGTGGATTTTCCAGGGGGAGGAACAAAATCCAAACATATTCAAAAATGATCAAACATAGTCGAACAATCGACCCCCGACTACCTTGTCCCTATTCTTGAAGAGTCCTCCTGTAGAGGGATATGCCCGACGTGAGCCCTGGGCGCCCTGGGCGCGTCCCAGTGCTCATTAAGAGACCTCGTGGATACTCTCGCCGCTCTCTTGGGCAATCCTCTTAGGCTCTCCTGGCCCCTGGCCAGAGACCCTCCTGGGCCCTCCTCTCGGGCTCCTTCTGTCGGGTCGGGCGAAAGGGGGGGATAGCAAAGGGGGTGTGTGAGAATCAGCTCACGTAGCTGATTTTCCCGGCGACTCCCGGCGACGGAGGCGACTATGTATCGAGGAATGGGCCCCTCGGTGAAGCCGAAACCAGCTGCATGCAGCAAAATTCGTAACCCCCCCTTTCCCAATCCCCCCCTTTCGCCCGGCCCGATTCTGGGGCGTCCTTGGGGCCCTCATCAGGCCCTCTTCGGGCGTTGTGGGGCGATCCGGGGGCCAGAAACCAAACGACACCAACCCACCCACGGCTCCATGGGGCTCAACGCACACGAGGAAATCTGGCGTGGGCTTCTGCGTGGTATACGCTACGGCCCCCGATGAGCCCAACATGGAGGGCCGTAGGTGGGGTGGGTGGTGTCGTTTGTTTTTTGGTCGAATCTGGGGGCCATCTCAAGGCCACATCCGACGGAAAATGATGTGTGAACGGCGAACATGAAAAAACATGGTTTCGTCAACTCGGGCTCTCTGGGGCTTCTTTTAGGGACACTTGGGAGCTTCATCGGGGCATATTGTGGCCCCTGGGGGCCGTCCTGAGATCATCTTGGAACGTCTTGGGCCACCGTGGGTCGTCTTGTCGGCCAGCGGGCGTTACCTGAGTGTCTCTCTTTCGGCCTTTCCGAGCTGGCTCGAAGTTCGACCATTGGAACTCATTCTAAAGCGAAACCCAGGGCAGGATAACATCGGATCAGGACACATCGAGGATCTCTGAGATCAGGCGGCCCTGGAGGATGAGTATCGAGCACCGCGGACGTTCCAGAACGGTCCAGAACGAACGCTCTCGGAGCGTTCCGGGACGCTTGGTCGGTGGCGAGCCCGGGGGAGAAGCGGGAAGAGGCGGGCCTTCTCAGAAGGCTCGGAAGTCCCCCGGCCTTCTGAGAAGTTGTCCAAGCCTTACCCGAAGACACAGGAACCTTCTCAGAAGGCTGGAGGGCTTCTGAGAAGTCCCGCCACCTTCTGAGAAGGCCTTCTCCTTCTCGCTTCCCCCCCTCGCTCGCCGCCGATCTGGAGCGAGTTGCCCCGCTCCTGCTCCTGTCTGGACCACCCCCCCGAAGGCTGCAGGGGGACGCACGAACCCGGGCCAGCCCAGCCCGGGCCGGCCAAGGCCCTGTGGCGAAGCCAGGAGGGGATTGACCGACCCCCCCATCAGCCAGACATGCGATATCCTGATCTTCTCACCACGGGGCTCCTGGACTTTCCCCAAGACCGGTTGTCCATCCAGAGTCGTTCTGCCGACGGTCCCGCGGCGTCGGAAACGGCGAAGACCTCCCGCCCCGATGTCTCACGACGGGGGCACGCCTGGACACGTGACGCGCCCCGACTCGTCCACGCTCCGAGCCCCGGCCTACGACGTCCTGCTTTTCCAAGACGGCGCCCCCGAAGTCCAGACTTGAACAGGGGCCGACCGTCCCGGCATTCCTATAGTCACACCACGGAATGCGAATGCTCTTAGAACCCCAAAATGTTCTAAGAACAAAAACAATGTTCTCAGAACATAGGCCCGATGTGTTAAAACAAGACAGACTCCGCCAGAAAGGTTCTGAGAACATTTCGTGGGAACCACAAAAGATTCCTAGAACATTGTTTGGTGGGGCTTTAGGCGAGCCGGGACGCTTCGCCACTGCTTGACAGACAGACCCTTTCCCGGGGCCGGCTTCTCACCCTGAGCCGTTCTGCCGACGGCCCCGCGGCCCGGCGAGGGCCCCCCCCGAGGCCGCAGACGGCGCAACACCTCCTCCGCCCTGATTTTTTGTTGTTCTTCCACGCCGCGATCCCGTCTGGGAGGGTTATGTTGCATCCTCGGGGGACCTTGTCTGTCCCGTCGCGGCCCTGTCCGCGTCGAATCCGTGTCGAATCCATGTCGGACGCGTCGGATCCGTGTCGAATCCGTGTCGAATCCGCGCCAAATCCACGCCAAATCCGCGCCGAGTCCGCATCGAGCACGCGTCGGGCCCCCAAAGAGACACCAATTTTTGGGACAGGCGAAGTCCCCCGAAGATGCAACAGAAGGAGGGCATCCTCCTCCTCCTCCTCCTCCTCCTCCTCCTCCTCCTCCTCCTCCTCGTCTGGGCGCGCGAGGCCGCCCCGGCACGGCGCGCGGCGGGGTCGCCGGCCGGGTGCTGCGCGAGGCCAGGGAGACCTGCTCGCAGGCGGCCTCGGCGGCCTGCCGGGCGGCCCCGCCGCACTCCTCGGCACGCGTCGCGGGGCCGTCGTCGTCTCCGCCGCCGCCGCCGCCGCCGCCGCCGCCGCCGCCGCCGCCCTCTCCGCCGTGCTTCTCGTCCTCCTCGTCTACCTACCAGACCACCCCGACCCGACCCGAAGACCCGAATTTCGGGTTGGGGGGGGTGACGGTTCCACACGTGTTTTTGTCGATGTTTCCCGACCCCCCCCCCACTGGAAATCGAGGCTAAATCTGAGCCTTCGGGTTGGGTTGGGGTGGTTTGGTGGGTGGTGACTCCTCGTCGTCGTCGTCGGCGTCGTCGTCGTCCTTGTCGGCGGCGTCGTCATCGTCGTCTGGTGCCTGATCTGTCGACCTCGTCGTCGCCGTCGCCGTCGCCGTCGTCGTCGTCCTCGTCGGCGGCGTCGACGTCGGCGTCGTCGTCGTTCTCGTCCTCGTGGGGGCCGTCCTCGTCGTCCACGTCGTCCTCGTCGTTGCGCGAAGAGGGACGCAGTCACGGGTCCCACAAAACTGTCGCCGACTTGAACGGCCACGACCACCACCCGTGGACAAGGCACGTACTGGGCCAGCTGCTGGACTGCTGGACCTCCAATCTGGCCTTGGGCCCCCCGCGTCAAGGATGCGCATATCCGCCCGCTTCTGTCCAAAGCGATGGCCACAACGTCCTAACTGAGGAAATGAGTCAACTTCAGGTCGGGCATGTCCTCCTACAGGCGGAGCTTGGAAGAAAATAGGCAATAGCCCAACAGAAATCAATCAGTCAAAAAGAGCACGAAAAATCGCTACCTGACAATACCTACCATTCTTGAACATTCCTCCTGTTGAGGGACGGGCCCGACTGGAACTCAACTTGAACGGAGAGGGCGAGGCGAGGCGAGGCGAGGCGAGAGGAGGCGCCAGCGTGCGTGCCACAGTGGCACGGCCTGACGAAGGCGCGGCGTGACAAGACGAAGCCAGGACGAGGATAAAGCCACGTGAGGATGAATCGAGAATCTCTGAGATCTGGCGACTCTGGGGAACGTATCGGGCGCCACGGCCTTCTTAGAGCGTTTCGGAACGCTCTGAAAGCGTTCCCGAACGCTCTGGAACGGATTTATCGTCGTCCTGGCCCCACCCGACGTGAGGTCCGGTGCCTGGTCAGACGCGCTGTCGGCCTCCTGTTGGGCTTCTTGGGGGCCTCTTGGGCTCTCTAGGGTGCCTTTCTTTTTCCCTTGTTGCAGAGGCCATCGAACGAATCCTCGCTCGCACCTGCGCCCCAAAGAGCCTGGGCCATCTGGCCCGCGACCAAACATCGCAAAGGAGCACGAAGGGCTCGACGCCTGCAAGCGCGCGCTCTTACTGAATTCCCTTGCTACACAGACCAGCGAACCTTAGCTAGCACCTGCGCCAGCGAACCAACTCGTCTGGCAGTGGCATGCCTGGGCCATCCGGCCCGCGATCAAACATCGTAAAAGAGCGCGGCAGGTTTGACGCCTGCAGGCGCGCAGTCGGAAAACTGTCAGAGGAAGCGAGCTGGATTCAAACACAACAGGGCGACGGCACCCCTCATTCCCCATCCTTCCTTCTCCCATACCCCCTCCTTTTCTGCGTTGCTGGCACACCAGAAGGCACGTTAAATCCCCCCGAGCCCGCTGCACACTGTCTGCGGCCTCTCAGCTCGCTGACTGTCCGCGGCTCGAGGAGAAGCAGGAGACAATGTGGTAACATTTATGTTGCCCCGTCCCTGCCAGTTCGGATGGGCGAGAATATAAATAGAAGGAACATAATGCCCTTGGACGTTCGAAAGTAGCAACCGCCTAGCTACAGCCACTGACGGGATGCCACTGCCGCTGATTACTGGTCCAACAGAGCAAGTCACTGTTGACACAACTCGGTCGAGGCAAGCTCACCATGAAAAGGTGGCCCTGGACACAGCTCGAGCAGGCTGACTCTGGGCCAAGGAATGATGGCTACGAAACCATTTCATGCCGTCGTGGCCTAAAGAGCACGGCGCAGCCCAAGCCGGGGAAGTGGCTTGCTCCCGTTGCGCCAGCTGAAACAAGCCTCGGGGATGCGTGGTGATCGGGAAACAATGAGAAAGAGAAAGAGGACAAGGAGAAACCAGATGCCGATGAGAAGGCGAATGAGGCAGAGTGGAACGGGACGTTCGGGATGGAAATAGCTTCTGCGCTCACATGCAGAAGTCCCTTGTTGCACAGAATGCGATATTCGTCGTCCTTCGAAAGCCCGTTCTGGTTCCAAAACTCTTCCCAAACTTGCGGCATTCTCGGGTGGGCTGCGGAAACTGGATGCGCACGCCATCCTTCAATATAATCGGCTTGTGTTCATCGGGTACCGATGGGTCCATGATGGTGCAATTCTTGTAGCGGGAGATGTTGAACTGTAAGGTCGTGTTTCGCTCCAGCACACCTGGCACTCCTTCCTGCAACCCTGACACTGGCAGTCGGAGAAACCATCGAACGACTCGAAGAAAGGTTTCACGTGACTAGCCGCGGGTATGTGTGGTCTCGAAATCAGTCAATGGACACGCGTCGTCGCGACCAAAAGCCCAGGTGCTAGGGCCCCACTGCACAAGGTCTTGGCCGCGGCAGCACCCGCGGCGACGAACGGCCTGGCCTTGGTGCTGAGGGGCGTGCGGGTGCAGCTGACCGTCCGATCGGAAGTTGCCGGCACCTTGAGCAGCAGCGCGTCGAATGGCGACTCGAAAGGTAACCCGAGCGGCGTGCCAGCAGCAACCGGCGAGTGCTCGCGCGATCCAATCGAGGAGGGCCTGCCAGCATCGAGCCCGGCCAGGACGGCCGAGAGACCATCGTCGCTCGAGGACCTGGGCGAGTCGTCGGGGAGGAGGGCGTCGAGCTCCAGAATGTCAGCCCACGCGAGGGCGGGGCAGACGGGGCACAGCACAACGGGCTCGGGGACAGCACTGGCGCCGACTGCACGCGCCGAAGGCCGCCGCGGTCCTGCGCGCAGAGCCCCGCGCCGCAGCCCAGCGTCGAAAGCGGGCGATCATCTGAAGAAGCAAAACTGGTGATTGCCGGCGCCATCACGGTGCAAAGTCCGAACGGTCGGCGGGAGCTCAGCTTCGTAGCCAACCTTGAGTTCTGATATGCCAAAGCCACGCGCCCTCAACTGAACGAATCTTAGATCGTATGGGCTGTGCCTCTTGGGGCCTCCTGGGGGCCTCCTTGGGCGGAAGACTCGACTTGCTGGTTCGTGTTCCCCCTCTTGGGCCCCCCCTTGGGGCCGTCTTTGGGCAATCTTGGGCGGCGATCTTGAGCGCCTCTTGAGCCGTTCCGGGGCCCTCTTGGACAGTCTTTGGGCCCTCTTAGGCTGTCTTGGGGTGGTCTTGGAGGCCTCTGGGGCCATCTTATTAGAGAGTCGGAAGCCCGAAAGCGCGAGAACGCGAAACACATGAAAAATAAGGGAAATGCATGTTTATTTCCTCTTTGGGCCCTCTTGGGGTCCTATTGGAGCGCTCTGGGGCTTCTTTGGCGCTTCTTGGGC